GTTTTTATTTATAAATCATTAATTCCTGATTCCAACGATAATACGGCGTTAGCACACATCAATATTATAATTATTATAACAATATTATATGTATACATATGTTATATTGTGTTTAATAAATATGAAACGTTACAACTTAGCATTTGTTACACATGCATTTATTTGAATATTTCTATTTATAATAGTTCATTACATTTATACTCACCTATTAGCTTTTGGGTGTTAGTATTGTACTGCATTTTACCAACTATAAATTATATATTCATTTGTTTTTCACGAAAATGCCGAGAAAATGCTCTGTGGATGGTTGTACAGGATCTTCAGAGGGAAAAAGAATACTTTATTTAAAAGCCCAAAAGATGTGGATTGTTTGACGGCTTGGAATGAAGCGATTTCAATTGCCAATGGTCGAAATTGCTTTGCTACATTTGTTTGCGAAAAACATTTTAAAACTGAAGACATTATTTATGAATATGCTAACCATCCAAATAATGTAAGAAATATTTTCATAAATAAATAATTAAATTACAAATAACATTAACTAGGTACAAATTAAAGATAAACGGAGAAATGAAACGCACTATACCTCAATTAAAGCGAGGTGCTGTTCCATCAATTTTTTCTTCTTATATTGGTGAAGTAAGTATAATAGACGATAGTCAGTATGACCAATGCAAAATTGGTATATTTCTAAATTGATAGTTTAAATACATATTTTATTCAATTAAAAATATGATTAGGTACCAACTACTAGGTACTATTTTTTTAAATTTCAGCCCTTAATTATTAAAAAACCCAGACCAGCATGCAGTAAACAATTAGTATGGAGATATATTCCTGCTCCTTTATCTGTGAATGATAATAGTGAAGCCATTCAGGTACATTTTTATTTAGCTATTTATTAAAATAATTATAAATAGTTCTACACTTATTTTAGCATAAAAATTAATAATTTTTACTATAGAAATGTGAACATGTACCTGAAATTAATATAAATACCTTTGACAATCTTTTATATGTGTATAAACATTTGAAGTTGCCATTGGGTTGGTCGTCATTTGGAAATGTGAAAGCAGTAACATTTTATTTATTAGGACATACATTTAATGGTGAACAACTTTTTGCTACAATTGAAAAACAAATCACATTTACATCTGAACATGAAATTGGATTTTATATTATGAACAATTTTCCAATAAGTTGTAATGATCTCGGTTTAAGTTTTAAATTGACTTTTCCCCTTAATGAAAAAAGTATTGAAGAATCAATTGAACATTTTAATAATAAAATAGTTTGCTATGGTGCTACTCATGCRTCTAATTTTTCTGGTAGTATTTATCATTATCTTTTATGATTGCCTGATAAGTTTTGTAAAATATTTACTTTTAGGTATTCAAGTTAAAACTGCATCTCTAGGATTCAATAATGTATGGCGTCATGTTAAATGTTAAATGATTATTTAATTGATTCTAACAAAAGATGTAAATTTTGTGAAGGTTTATTCAACATTTAGGGTGTATAAAAAAAGATCTTTGGAAGTAAAGTCCAAATATATAGGTGTTAACATTGATAAATGTCCTATATTATATTATATTAGTATTAGTTGATAAGAAAGGGGAACTGATTATGTGATTAGGTGATAATGTAATTGATGTTATTATGATTCTTATTATTAAGTTTAGTCTAGTCTCAACAGCCGTACGTTGACTGTTGTGCGAGTCACGTTGTTCCTAATCATGAGTTTTAATAAATAAATGATCAGTAATTTAAGTGTTGTTAATATAGGGTCAATTCTTACTCCAATCCGCAAAAAGAAATATTGTAATATTTTAAATAAAAAAAAAATTTACAAAAATCTAATTCTAAGTAGGTTCAATAGTATTGTATACTCTTTATTATGAATCACTATGAAATGTATCTAAAACTTAATTCTAACTTTGAAAAATGTGTAGATTGCGATTAACAATTGACAAAATGAACAATGTATTAAAAAAAATTCACCAAAAAACAAGAGACATGAGTGATTCTTCGGTGAAATATGTATTAAATAATTGTAAATTATGCGAGTCTCAGAGAACAATTATTCATGAGAGAATTACTGCAAGTAAAGCAGAAAGTCCAAAATGTAGAAGGTACAGCAAAGATTGGATTTTATTATGTGTATTATTAAAAATTCGGTAAGAACTAAGAATCAATCAATATTGTATTTTAGGTAACACTATAAGTCCAATGAATATTATCTAAAGTAAATTCAAAATTAAATTATAATTAAATAATAATTTTAAACTTCAAAATAAATCAAATCAATTKTATACTGCGTGCATGATGATAGATTTTGTTTATATTATTTTATAATAGTCTCTAGATAAATAGATGTCATAACTCATATTATACACGATATGTATATAATTTAGTATATATATAGAAGGTATATAAAATTAATTTCCGCAGTTTGTATAATGTATCTTATCGGTTTAGCCGCAGATTGTATAATCTTAATTTTTTTTTGCCGCAGTTTTCATATYGACTTTTAGAAAAAGGTTAATTTTGCTGCAGTTTACATACAGCTGTGCGTTCTGCTAGCGAGTCCGGTAGGTTGGACTTGATGCGAGCTCGTAAACAAGGCCGAACTGAAGCGTTGATGGATTATTTCCAACCAAAAATGAGGATGTGCCGTGAATTAAAAATGTCATTCCACACCTCGAAAGACTATTTACTCAGAGGTCTGTGTTCACGAAATTTGGCGCTGTATGCCGTCGGTCGTCGATATGTTGATGAAGACGAACTATTGGATGACTTGCTCAGTTGGGAGCGGATGAACGCGTTCCATCAAACCTCGTCGGGGAATGAACGACCTGCAGATAGTGCTAAACCACGCGCGATTGGAAATATTGTTGGGTTTTCGACAACGCGCGCTACGGAGAAGATCGTTCTTCCGACGTCGAATAAATTTGTTGCTAGCACGGAAGCGCGCGGTGACAGTCAAGTATCGTGTTGGAACTGTAAGTTGACGGGACACCTCTCTCGGGATTGTCCTACGCGCCGAAAAATCGCCACGTGTTATGGGTGCGGAGCAGCCGGACACATTCGACCGTACTGTCCACAACGGGGCTAGTCGAGCGTGGCCATGGAAGTATGCGAGACAAGAAGTTACCCCTATCGGAGGTCAGGACGGATTAATGGTCGTGAGGTTGATGTCCTCCTCGATACGGGGTCGCATTACAATTTAGTAAAGGTGAGCGTCGCCATATGTTGCGGACTTCTGATCGAACCGTTAGATAAACCGTTGTTTGGACTCGGCAGCGTCACTGTGCCGTCCGTACGTGCTGTTGGTGTCGCGCGAGCCGAAATTGCCATCGATAACGTTTTTCCCGGACGAGTCGCGTTGTTGGTGGTACCCTATACAGTGCAACAACCGGACGTTATTGTGGGGCGTGAGTGGCTAGACTCGCCGTCAGTGGCGTACCGGAAGATCGGCCGTGAGCTACATCTGTCCAAAGCCGAAACGTGTTTGGGTGAGACCGAGCCTACGGTGATGACTGTCGGTTGTGAGGCCGACTACATTAACGCTGTGGAGGTGCGTGGGGTTCCGGAACGCGACGCGTTGGTACTGAGTGATTTCGCCTACGTTAAGCCTGACATAGACGAACGGGAGCGCGACGATCTATTAAAAATTGTGAATGAATACCGTGAATGTTTTGCGAAGGGACTCAGTGAGCTTGGATGCACTCCATTGTTGAATGTCGACATCAACGAAGTACCAGGAAGTTTCCCCGTTGTTTGCCGTCCGACCGAGAGGAAATTGCGAAAATAGTATCTGAGTGGAAACAACACGGGGTAGTATGTGACACTGTTTCGCCATACGCGAGTCCGGTGCTACTGGTAAAACAGGCTGGCGGTAAAAATCGAATTTGTGTGGTTTATAGGAGGCTGAATAAGCAGACTGTCCGACAACATTATCCGCTACCGGACATGCAGGAGCAGTTAGAGTCCTTAGCTCAAGGTAACCTGTTTACGCAATTGGACTTGGCGAGCGGTTATTTACAAATACCATTGTCGCCCGAGGCATCTGCCAAGACCGCGTTCATTACTGCAGATACGACGGGGCAGTTCACGCGAATGCCGTTCGGTCTTTCCGGAGCAGTCGCTGAATTTACACGACTGATGCAGCGGGTACTTGGACCGTTACAAGGGAAGATCGTACGGAATTATCTTGATGACATGATAATAGAAGGTAAAGATTGGTCCGATATGCTGAACAAGCTCAAGTTAGTACTCGATCGTCTCCGAGAGGCTAATTTAATCTTGAAGCCGACGAAGTGCTTGTTCGGTACCGAACGTGTTGAGTTTTTGGGGTTCGTGGTGGAACGCGGGCAGATCCGGCCGGGGCTAGAAAAATGGCGCGCTATTGCAGAATATCCCACTCCTAAGGATGTACCTGCGATCCGACGTTTCTTGGGTTTAACGGGATTTTTTCGCCGCTTCGTGGTTGGGTATGCCACCGTTGCTGAACCGTTGACCAGTCTATTACGGAAGGATGCGATGTTTGAATGGTCTGGAGAGCAAGAAAATGCGTTCCGCTGGTTGCGCGAGGCCCTTGTTGGGGACGCCGTGCAAACGATGTACCGCCGTGATGCTGAAGTGACGGAGCTGCACACTGACGCGAGTGCAGTTGGGCTGGGAGCCGTCTTGCTACAGTCCGGGCAACGGAATGACCCTTTAAAAATGGTGTACTGTGCCAGTCGACGAACGTGTGAACCCGAATCTCGCTACCACTCTAGTAAGCTAGAGCTGATGTGTATAGTATGGGCAGTGAACAAGCTCAGGTAGTTCCTGCTGGAAATTAAGTTTGTAATCTTAACCGATTGTCAAGCTTTAGTTTACCTTAATAATTTCAAAGGTCAGAATGCGCAAGTCGCGCGTTGGTACGATTCACTCCAGGAATACGACTTTGAAATACGGTACCGGCCCGGAACACAGATGGCGCATGTCGATGCTCTCTCTCGTGCACCTGTTGGAGAAGAGCGACCATCATTGGACGAGTTGCTCACTGAACGTACCGACGTGAGAGGGATTGTGTTGTCAATAGAAGAACGAGTTGCCATGTGTCAGTCGGCTGACCCCGAGATTGCCCGGCGGAAGGCGGAGTTGGTCAATGCACCGGAGAGTGAATTTGTATTGCGCGAGGGATTGTTGTACCGTAACGTTCACATCAAGTTATTGTTCGTCATGCCTAAGAGCATGAGGAAGAGTCTGGTAGTCACTGCACATGATCTCAGCGGACATCCCGGAGTGGACCGGACTGTGAGCAATATAATTCAAGATTTTTGGTTTCCAGGCATGAGGCGATACGTGAAGCTACATGTCCACATGTGTTTCGAATGTTTGCTAACGAAGGACCCGCGGGGAAAAAGGCCTGGATACTTACATCCTATACCTATTGGTAACAGGCCATTTGAAACAGTGCATGTCGACCATGTTGGGCTGTTTGTAACAACGGCTGAAGGGTTCAAGTACATTTTAGTTATGGTGGACAATCTCACAAAATATGTGTCCTTATACGCAGTTGAAGACACCAGTGCTGAACAGTTGATTGTCCAGGTCAAACGGTTTGTCGATAAATTTGGACTTCCTGGGCGACTGATTACTGATCGCGGTAGTTGCTATACATCTGGAGTTTTCGAAGAGTACTGCCGACAACAGGGTATTCGTCTAGTGTGGACTTCGTCACGCCACCCCCAGACCAATGGGCAAGTGGAACGAACTCATAGTGTGGTCATGGCTACTCTTCGTACTGCTGGAGTAGACTCCGATGGGTGGTCTGAGTTGTTGCCAGAGGTGCAACGCTTGATCAACAATAGTGAGAGTCAGTCCACTACTAAAACTCCTTTTGAAATGTTGTATGGTTATAGGCCGAGATTCCGCCTGGGAGCGTTGAGAGAGTTGTCCACTACTACCTCCAGCGGAGGCACGGGAGGAGGTACGCGCACGTATGGAACTCTCTAAACAGAAGATGAAGGCTGCATACGACCTCCATCGCCACGACAATATCCACTATCAGGTAGGAGAAGTAGTAGTGATGAAGAGGGCTGCCAGCTCAACAGGACACTCTAGGAAGTTACAGGATCGATACAGAGGTCCCCTAGTCATAACTGAAATCCTACCTGGGGATGTGTATCGGGTCGTTGAGCTGTGTACTGGGCGGCCGAGTAGATTTGCTACTACTGCGCATGTCTCCCAGTTAAAATCATGGAGGCTGACAGACTGTGACCCCATAGAAGAAGCTGAAACGGAGGATATGACTGAAGAATATGACGGAGAAGGGGAGGTCGGAGGAACAGTCTCTGCACCGGAAGCGACAACTGAGCCGGAAGAGGCACCTGTGGATGGACCAGTCGTTAGACCCCGCCGCAAGCCAAAGCCACCTGTTTGGATGGAAGATTACCAGGGAAAGTGGTAGACTGAATTATTACTTTAATACTGTGATCATAATTCTGTTGATATCATGATTCCTACTATTGTTTCTGTGTATATTATGAAAAAAAAAATTGTTTTGTACTGATTGTTATATTACCAGTTGCTACTTTTCAATAAGCTTTTATTAATTGTTTAATTAAATCTGATATTTACTGTTGTTATGTTGACAATTGCACAATCTGTTTATGTTAAATGTCATACTATAATATTAATGTTATTTTATATTACTTTTTTTTTTTTTTGTCATGTCCTGCTATATTGCTCAATTCTATTGAAATGTTATTTTATATTATTTTTTTTATTTGTCATGTCCTGCTATATTGCTCAATTCTATTGAAATGTTATTTTATATTATTTTTTTTTATTTGTCATGTCTTGCTATATTGTTCAATTCTATTGATATGTTATATTATATATTGTAAAACCCCTGTCGAGGACGACAGTTTTCGTCAGGGTGGTCGAATGTAAACACTAACAGAGGGCGCGTCGTTCACGTCACAGGCGGGAGCGAGCGTTGTCGTCTGTAGTGTATGAGCAGTGAGTCAGTCAGCGTTTGACCGCAGCGTCGTCGCCCCCCCCCCCTGTGCTGTTTGCAAGGAGGTGGTGAATTTCTTTTTCTTAATTTGTATGTTGTTAAATTGTTCCTTATGTCTATGTTAATATAGTGATTTCGTTATAAAATATGTGCGTTGCGTTACTATCCGTCCTGTAGTTAACACATATATAAATTCAATATACGCGTTCTCACTATAAGTATATATCAAATGTATGTACCTATATTAAACACCCTACACACGTTTATTATGTATTTTCCTGATATACCTATTATTATACCTATATACAGGGTGTTTCACGATGTTTGCAATAACATTTGATCTATTTAACATTTTTCGATTTTTTTTAACATGTAAGTAAAATTTTAAAATTTTAAAATTTTCTATTTGATATTTGAAAAAATCAAAATAGCCATTTTTTTAGATATGATTTTTAAAATAAGTTCGAAAAAAAAATGCAAAATGTTCAGCCGATTATTTTCTACGATTTTTTAAAGTTTGCACAATTTCATATTATTACTAACCGATTTTTTGGATCCAACTTAGGTATCAACTATCTTAAGCTTTCCATGAAAAAAATCCAACTACCTATCTATATATGTATATTGTATATCTATAAATAGTTGTGATATATCTTAAATTTTGGTATCTACTATCTAGACAATGATATCACTGATTATATTATATTATATTATTATTACTCTGTGAATTGTGATATAACCCATTGGGTTTAATAATGCATAAACCTCATCACGAATTAAAATAAATGTATTAATAATTATTTTATGCCATTTGTATTAGGTATCATATTAATAAATATGTAAAATTATTTGTATTATGTAGTATAAAAAGATATAATTAATATTATATAGTATTTAACTTATTAAATAATAACAACATAACATTATAATATATAATGGTATACAATAGAATAAACTATATTAATTATTATAATAAATAAATATTTAAAAAGTCTTTTATTTAATTTAGGTTGTGTACTGATTAATAAACATATCTGATATCTAAGATGGGTAGTAAGTAATTTATAATATTTAAATAGTGTTATTTTGAGGTATTCTTTTTTAGTTTAATTTATGCATATAGTTCTGTATTTTTTGCAAGTATTTGGCTATATTTATTCAAAAAACTAAAGTTGCGTTTTGCACACCGAACAAGCAACACGTATGTTTCGCTTTCGCAGTTCGCGAGATAGTGCTGACTAAGTTATTACAATTTTTTTTTTGTTAATKTTTACAATGCAAACCAYGGCCTKTCGGACGGATGGTAAGTTTTTATAAACAAATATTTTTTTTAAGTGGGTCACACTTAAACTGACCGAATTGCAAAATGTATGCAAATATGGAGGTCGATTCAAATCTGCCGCATAAAATAACAGTTGATGCTAGTATTTGGACACAAATACAAAACGACAATGCGACCTTGAAACAAATGGTAACGGAATTGGGATTAAACAATGAGAAATTACAACTTCAGATTTCTGAAATGAACGCTGGGAGCTCCAAAGAAATTTTGAGCTCGCCAAAAAAAATAATCAAAGTGACGAAAGAAGTAGCGAACACTTCTGTAAAAATCCATAAACCACCTCCAATAACAGTATGTGGTGTAAACGATTTTAAAAAATTAATGATTAATTTAAAACTCGAAGAAGCTGAAG